TTGGTTCAACATGGGACCAGAGCTCCCAGCCCCCCAGGACGCGGCCCCTTTTGTTGCCAAAGACCCCGTGGCCCATCGGGGGTAACCAACCTCCTTCCTTTCTGCTTCTGTCATCCCAAACTGGTAGTGGCCCAGGAGGAAGGGCCACACGGCCTTGCGGATCTCCGGCTGAATCCCCCCATAGTAGATGAGGCGCAGCAGCTCCTGCTTCTCGTAACTCTGTGGTGTCGGGGAGAGCAAAGCGTTTGGTCAACAGGAAACCAGGGAGTGGCCTCTGTGACCCAGCAGTCCCGCTTCTCAGACTTGCCATCAGAGATCATGGTGTGAATGAGCAAAGCCATTTGTACCCAGATATCCGTCGTGGCATCAAGAGAGTAAAACCCTGGGACCCTCCCAGATGCCCACCAGTGGGGGAACAGTGCACCTCTACATGGAAATACCGCACAGAGAGTAAAAAGGGCAGGAGGTGAAAACCTACACAAAAAGATGTTCAATGAGTGTTAAGTGGGAAAAAAAAAGATGCAGAACGTGTCTAGTGAGAACCCATTTTTGTTTAAAAAAAAAAAGCCAGTATATAATGAACTTGCATTTTTTACTCAATTTTCAGCCAGTTTTGTGTACTGTGCTTATTTGGGAATATTATGTTGGCGTTATTAATTTTGACTCAGCTCTAAGGAAATTAATCTACAATGAACATTTGCAGCTGGTCCTTCATACGTTAATCCCTTTGGTGCACACTCGGATGATGTTAACAACTGTTTGCTCTACTGTGGAAACTTGTCCTCTTTCTTTTTTAAAATTCATTTTCAGGCAAAGGCTTTGCAGTTACAATTAGTCAAGCTGGCGGNCCATTCACTCGACGTAATTACTAAGGGCCTCCCACGTGCCCAGCTCCTTGGTGATGATACGAAGATGAATAAAAGTGACCCCTTCCTTTATTTACAGCAGTGGCCTTATAGAAGGGCCACAGCTTTCAAGCTTTTACCTCGTGGGATTTCAGCAGAGAGGAGGGGAGCTTACGTTGTTTCTGTGTTACACCGCCCAGGTAACTGAGGCTCTGCCAGACCTCTGAGCACAGATGGGGCGCACGAGCTGACTGAAGGGTGTGGAGGGGCAGGAACGGGGAGAGAGGGCAGGGAGCCTTCCCTGTACTGGGTTGGGAGGGGCAGGGAATCCTTTGGCTATTCAGGGCTTCCAGAAGGCTCTGGGTCCGCCCTACCCCAGGGCCTGTCCTGAGTGGCTCCCTCCAGCCGACCTCCTGAAGACTCATCCATGCCCACCTCGCCACGACCCTGTACCTGGACAACCCCAGGTAGCAGCTTCCTCCCAGGTGCCTGCTTGTCCCAGCCTGGCCCCTCCTGTCCATCATCCCTGTTTCCTCTCCAGCCCCACCTCTCTCTGCTGCCCCCACAGCCCTTGTCCTTTATGTTTCAGCCACCCACACCCACCACGCCCTCCTGCCCTTCCCCACACACACTCACACAGACACCCCACATCATGCAAGTGTCTCCTCTAGGGATTGCTCTCTCTGTCCCCTCTCCCTAAAGGCCCTTCCTCACTCTCCTTGCCTGGAAAACAATTCCTGCAAAGAATTCAGGTAGCCTTCAGCCTGGCATAGGTGCCTCCTGTGTGATCTTACAGCCCCTGGGTTTGCCGCCATGTGACTGCACAAGCCCCACTCAACTGGCAAGGACCTCTCTGGGTCCCCATTTCTGAGCACAGGGCCTGGGACACCGAATTTCTCAGATCCTATCTGCCCAGGAACCCACCAGGCATGGGATGAGGCATGGATGGGCCTCAGGCTGGTACCAAGATGATTTAGACAATTTATTGGCACAGGCCTCCCTCCTCACGCAGACCCACAGTGTGAGAAAAGTTCCATTGTCAACTCCCCATCAACTTTTCTGGTTAGGAGGAAGGCCACTGTGGTGCCACTGTGTCTTTAACATGTCCCTACCACTTCATAATAATCTCCCTTTTTCACAAGAAGAGAGCAGGCCTCAGGCCAACTACTGCATCTAGGTAGAACCGAATTATATCATTCTGTCATACTCTATTTATTTTTATAGTTTCCTTCTATTGATGGCAAGTCATACTGGTTTTCCATTAATGGCAGGGATAGAAAACATCTTTTTAAATAAGTTATATAAAATTTTAAGTGGGTCCATTTAAAGACAAATATTTAGTTAATAACAGCCTAGGTGGTACATGGATATGGAGTGTAATTACCACTGGATTTTGAAAATTTAGTATGATTAAAAGAATGTGAACTATCTCATTGGTAATTTTTATATTGATACCTGCTGAAATGATAACATATTGGATTTACTGGATTAAAATATATTACTAACATTAATTTTCCTTTGATGAAATGACACACGTGCG